TACTTGCTGCATACAGCAGGGCGGGTAAGCGAAAACATGCTACTGCTGACGCCTCCCTTCTTACACTTTCCCGTTTTCCGTCTCCCACCCTCCACCACCCAAATGTGAGTACTTTATCCACAGGTTCCAGCTCTAAGACTAACCGTTTCGCTCGCTTCGCATCACACTTAACTACAGCTTCCGTACGTCCGAGCTCGGTAACAACCCTAAACACTTCAAGGTCTGTTTTCACACCTCAAAAACCTGTCTACTTAGCCCTTTTCAGTGTTCGCGCACAGAAGCAAGCAGGTCAACAGGCGACTTACTCGTACGCTTGATTTCCTCTGCATCGATGTGTGTTGTCAGAAACAAGGATGCAGGACGGAGATACTGTGATTGCATTCATCGCCCCGTCGGTCTCTTTCAGGTTCCAGCTGCGCACCTCTTGTAATGCAGAGGCCGTTACAGTTGGATATGTTGAGGTGGCTGTTGTATTGAGCGAACGAGCGGAATCGTCTCTTCTATTGGATAATCGTTAATAGTCGTCCGTGCGGTTCGTTTGGCAACATCTGTGAGAGAATCTGAAGGAAGTGAGGTCCATTGAACTTTGTTTATTGTATCGTTGTTACGATTGATTGAGCGCAAGAAAAAAGTGAATAGCGTAGAATGAATAGCGCTTTACTTGTCTAAGAATAGACGTACATAAGCTGAAAATGAAGGCAAAAGCATGGTTAATGCAAAACGATAATATGGTTTTCACACTCACTACCAGCCTTTTTTTTAAATATGCACTATCACCAACTCTCCTAGTTTTATGGGACAGACTCCTTTTCCAAAATGCAAGCAAAAGGATCAGACAAGCGTGGAAGGATCAGACAAGCGTGAACCGAGGACTTCACTCCGTCTCTGAACAATGCGGATTGGGGGTCATCCGGACCAGGAGCTCGGTGGCGCTTGAGAGAACATATGCAGTCAGAAACCTCCGAGGCCGTAGGTGATTCCACGTTCACCGTCTAGGGTTCTGCTTCTCACGTGGGCTCTAGATGAGTGCCAGCTGGTGGCCAGAGTATTCAGAGTTTTTAGCTCACCGGTCGAGGCTTTATTTGAGATGGTCCTTCCATTCTTATGCTTGGTGGTTTCGCTCACAGGTGGTTTCCAGGGGCCAGTCTCACGTATCGACTGAAATAATCTTTGGGCATTGCTGGCTTTCTGGGCCTCTTCCGTTTATTTGGCTTTCTGGGCCCACCATACTTCATGGTTGGCTTGTACGTTCACTTTCACTTGTCGTCTGGTAATTCGTCGCACCGAGTTATGTTTGGGATCGGGTGGGATATTTCTCCGAGATTTAGGGAGTGCCACCGTTCGGTCTGATATGCGGTGCTTGCGTGTGCTTGGTGGTGCCCAGCCACAGGCACTATGCAAAGAAGTGGCAATCTCGTCTCAAAATGCGTTCACGTCTGCTTGTGCAGCATTTGGAAGAGACCCCAGAAGAAGATCCTGGTAAACTCGTCTTACATCCGGATCTGCCAGCCTCTCAGTTGCCAAGCGATTTGTCCGCACCTTACGCGGCCCCGGGAAACGTAGAGAGAAGCGACTCCGGACGAGTGCGTGATCGGAATCCACAAATGTGTTCCAAAACGACAGCCAGTCAGTTAGTGATCGGCTCCATCGGTAACTAATGGCAACGTGATCGGTTTGAGTTTGTGGCCGGTATACCGTTGGAGGACACCATGTGGCCGGACGAATTCGGCTGTTTCGTAAGTTTACTGCGTAAAAACAGCCTGCGATCAGCACACAGCTGAAGCAATCGTTCACCATTGTCCGCACTTAGCGAGTTCAGTCCATGTCATCTTCCTAACTGAGTCTCAGATACGCTAAGCCTGCCCACTTGTGCATTCAGATCTCCTGCAACCACCACGATATCTGAGCTCTTAGCTCGCCGTAGCAGAGCATTCTGGACGTCGTAAAACCTGTCTTTGAGTAAGTTGGAACTACAGTCAGTCAGGCGTAGGTAGGCACGATAAACACACATCTATCAACTTCCCGCTCATGAAACTCCACAAACGTTGCCAGACGAACCGCACAAAGGCGACTATCAACTGCTATCCAGGCCACAGTAAGGGTGTGTTGTATGGGTGCGAGACATGGCCTCTGCGGACAGATGATGTGAGGCGTGAGACGTTTAGAAAGTGTCCTGCACGTGACACATGCATCCAAATGATGTGATGTTCGGTTATTAGGGACGGCTGGCCCCCGAACACCTCCCCCTTGAGAGGGCTGTCCAACCGACTGCTGCTTTGGACTCCACTGTGACGACTCATGGAGGTTCTGTCGCACGTCGGTCCGTCCCTGGGGCTGCCAGCATGCTGATCTGGAATCCGATACCCTCCATTTGGGAGGTATGTCACGGCTGTCCGGTTTCCAATGCGACGTGGTTCCCTCACCAAACCGCAGTCTGTTGCCTGAAGTTGGTTCAATTGACGCGGCTGTGCTGATGTTCTTACGTGTGCCTCGTGTTTGACATAGTCGACCCTGCGTCCACCGTGGAGAACATTCCCCATATCTTCGAATCAGTGGCTGGTCTCTGTGTGACTGTTGTGGCGTCCCATCTGCCGGCTCCACTTCCTTGACTTTCCGAATAGCAGTAGGACGGTCCGCCTGAACCTGGGACTGTAAACTGAACGGTTCAGACCGCGGGTGAAACGTTGCGGTCTGCTGGCAGGGTTCACCAAATTGCACTGAGGTGAGAGGGCTACCGCTGCCGGACGCCAGAAGCTGAATAGTCGCTGTGTCGCGTATGCTCCATCTGGTCTCCGGTTTGGCTGTAACTGTAGCGACCACAAAATCGTCAGGACGTGATGTTCTCGTGAACGTAT